GCGACTCGACAGCAACCTCATTTTTGCATCCGCGTAGTCATACCTTGTTTTTACCAAGAACGGAAACCATTCTGACATTTATTGAAATAAAAGCCCAACTTTAGAAAATGTATCATAATTAGTTTTATTTTTTGATTTGCAACGATAATTACTCACCTATGTAATGCTATTTGATATGGGGGGGGGGGGGGGGGGTCACTATTTAGATTTAAAAGTTGGGGTGGCTGGAGCGCAGGGGGTGTGAGGGGGTGCGTCGCCTACTATGTAATTGTGATTCCCCCTCCGAATTACCGAAACGGATTTTGTTTTTTTTAAATATCTTGTTTATTTACCAAGATATGGGAAGTGGTAAGTTTTCAAATTGTCACCCTGTATGTACTGGATTCCAATAAGCTATACCTAAGCGTCTATATTACATCGTATAGACATGGTGAGCGCGATAACGTGTCAACCACCACGTTGGGTTTCTCTGCAATGTACTCCAGGGGCAGGTTGAACGTTTGGAGGGATAGTGACCACCGGTCAGTCATTTGAGGGGTTACTCGTCCATTCGAGTAAGCGGGTAAGTGTCCGTAATGGCTATTGCGTTAATCCGGGGGTAGTCTAGTAAACACGGGACGAACCATCGCGCTTAGGGACGAGCACAGCGTGAGAAACCCATGCAGACTTGCACTCTTCCACTACATTTTGGTTAAAAATGGCTCAACTAGTATTGCACAACATTTTTCTTGGTATTTTTCTGAACACTGCCAAAAACCGCATTTCGATACGAAGTTTGCAAAAATTTATAACTTTTTTCGTTGTTTCGTTGAACTGATATTGCAGCAACCGTCGAGAAGGAAAAGCGAATTGGCCACTGTTAGCCAGGGAAACTGGTCTTCCAGTGAAACAACCACCGAGGTTTAACAAAACTCATATAATTTTGGGCGCCAGGCGTGCAAACCCATTAGTAAATGGGTTTCGGATTGCGATATAGATAAAATAAAGATAGGTAATTAAATTGAAACATATGGCTTAAGCTAAAAAGAAACGTGTTAACAAATAAGGAATCCTATGAAAATAAATTTATCTCCAAAAAGATACAACCGTGCCTTATTCACGTAAAATCCCTAGATAAATAATTTAACCAATTTTAGTGATGATGATGCAATTTTCCACTTCAGATATCAACATCTTTCGCAAAAATCAGAACTTGTCATTTCAACGACAAAAGCGAACGTGATATTTTCTCAATGCCAGTGGTACCAACTACTCCTAAGAGTGCATTCAGTCAAATCACCCAAACCAAGAGTACATTCAACGAAACAAAGAGACGTTACACTATGTAAATAAAAAATTTATAAATTATTCTTGGATTTTTAGCTAATTACTCATCCATTTGCAATGCGTATGTCCCATCCAAGAAAACAAGATTTCTCAAAAGCGGTACGAAGTTCACGGGGTCTGTTATTAGTCTTAATATATAAAACAGAATGTCCATTAACCTAGCAGAGCAAGGCCAGCAGAACACAATCAAAAATACCTTAAAAACCCAAGAAAATGAAAAGTGACTAAACTATAATACGGTGCTAATTAAATGTCCTATTCGGAAATTAAATGCTCCTTTTTTTTTAAATTATGACATGTTCGCAGGGTTCATGATGGAATCAGCAGAGCACTACCTTAAAAACCCAAGAAAATGAAAATGAACTAAACTATAACTTAGGTGCCTAATTAAGTGTCGCTATTCCCAGAATTAAAATGCTCTTAACTATTACCGGCTGGATTCAAAATTTCTTTTTTGTCTCCGTAGGCTAAATGAACTTGTTTTTGTCGATGTTAAGGGTCAAAAAGTGTCACTTTTTCTCCCAGAAGGATTTAAAAATGCAATGAGGGAAGAAAAGTGACAGTACACACAATTTTTGAATTGGGGCTGTAATTTTCCTCATAGTTCAGTTTATATAAACCTGGCACAGCATGTCATAAATTAAACAAAGGTGCATTTACTTCGGGATATGGCACTTAATTAGCACTAAATTATCGCAATATGTTTGATTGTGTTCTCCTGATCTGCTCTGCTTTTCATGGACATTAAACAGAGCCGTGTATCCCACTTGTAATCAAGAACAGCCTGGACCATGTTCCATATTGTCTTTGATTTGTTGCAATTAAAATATGCGATCGCTGGGTATAGAGTTTCAGGTAAAATGAATCTGCCCGAAGTTGTGCTATGAACATGTTTTGACTGTCAATCTTTTAATTTTATTAACGTCAATTAATTAACTCGCCTAAATAAGGCACCAAAAGCAACATATTCTTATTTGTGGACGACAGATAATAATCAGCCCTGTGACTAATCAGAACCTCAAACTTAATCGTGCCAAGTTATAAGGCAAAAAAATTGTTATTAGTATGGGTAAATTAACGTTTTCTTCTACAAATAACCTGCAACGTTTAGGTTTTAACACGTTATGATCAGCAGGGGTCGAATGAAAAGTTTCTTAAAACTTTCGTGCTAATGGTTGCTATGAAGCTAGTTTTTACGTCATTCGAGTTGTGTTCACAACGACTTTAGTTTACCCTGAACTTCAATACCCACCCTCCGATCTCCTGCAGATCTAAATTAGTCCCATCTCGCGATTCTTCTTACGTGGCGGTACCGCAGTGCAAAGCAAAATTAAGTAGCTTAGGTATATGTTACACTCGGCAATACTTCTCCAATATTTTAAAACGTGCACAGTGGTGATTTGCAACACATCAACACTTTCCGAAATTCCCACGAAAACGGGAAGAAAAAACAGATTTTTATGTTTTAACAGTGGGAAAGAGACATTTAGAACGTAGGTTTTTCGAACGCGTGAAAGGTAATATCCGAAGTTCCCACAGGAACGGGCACGGAGAAAACGGGATTTTCCAAAGACGGTACAGAAGTTCCGGGAAATGCTTACTATTAATAATCAAACTTCGACTTTTTACTATAATTATAGGGTAGATTCCTGACTTCATTTCGAAATCTAAATGAAATATTAAATTCGAATCTCATCAGAAGCTATTTTTGTTATGTGTTGCTATCTCGTTACAATAATTAACCAAGAAAGTGCGATTTCTTCTAAACTTTCGCCGGGAAGTACACTTTTTATTGTCCGAACTATGAACTAATTCATACAGGGTGAAAATGTTGTCTGGAAACCACTTCAAACAACATTTTTGTAAGAAGCTTTTAATGGCATCAAATTATAAAAAGTTTTCTACCCAATTACGTGACTTTAAATTTGCAATTAGTAGGCCCGACTCCTGTATGGTAAGGGGGCAAATTTAATTTCTCAACTATTAGTTTTCATTAGAAATTTTACAGAGTACACTATTTTGGTATGACAGCATAAAAGGAAATTAGGAATGACTAATAAAAATAGTGCTCTATTGCCAGTAGAAAGTACGCCATTTGCCCGTACGCTAGGTTAGTAGCAAAGTTTTATAAATGTTGGATACATTGTTGTTGCCGGAGTGATTTACTTTTTTTTTCGTATTTCCCACGAAATTAGTAACGTAAACCAACGATTTCGCGATATGGTCAAAGTGTAGGAGAAGAAATTACTTTTTCTGTCAAATCATGTCAGGCTCTCATAATCTTCCTTTCTTTAAAGTTACAGCGTAAAATCAACAAATTAATGAATTTTCATTCGAATCCTATGGATATTATGCATTCTGACAAACATGTTCAGTAGCATGTGTGTTATATATTCATTTTTATTTCGTTACAACACTTTATTGCATCATTTTGTTATTCACCGAATGAGACATCTTCAAATTACACTCAAAAATAGCGAACGAAAAAGGGCGAAAATGCAAAGAGTAACGGAGATTCATTTTATGTCGCTAACGAAGACGAACGTAACATAATTTCACATTGACGCGTTAGAAAGAATTTGATTAACATTTCGGAAACAAAAGATCCGGGCGTAAGAATTCGCGCGCAAATTTCCGCCGCATTTTTTACGAAATTACCCGTAATGAGAAGAATATTTACCGCACTTATATAAAAAACAGACCGGCATTGTCATTCATTACATACTAACGGCCTTCGGCGGGGGTCTGAATTTTTAAATACTATCCCAACCTCTGCTTCCCCCCTTACGATTTGGGTGATTATTAGTACAACAGCGTTGCGTTTGAAAATCCGAACG